TTTTTTCATTTTTTCACAAAGTGTAGTTCAAGAAAACTCATCTTTCTTTCATATAAATATTCATTTGAAATCCATGTGTTTTCGAAATCGCATCGTCAGTAAGGGCTATTTGTTTTACAAAATAAAAACCTAAACGAGCCATTTACAACATGTGAATCGTATCTTTTGTAATTCTGAAGTCAAATTAATTCATTTTACAGATCGGCTACACATCAAGGGTAACTTTGTATTTCGCAAAAACTACCTTGTTATGTGAGAGATTTTTTTTGTTGAAAAGGTTACGAGAAATCTAGGCATAGAATTTATACGAGATCTCAAAAAGGAAAAAAAAAAATCGCACAATGCTTATGAATTGTAATCCATGTTCGAAAAATATAGTACAGGGCCTAAGCCTGGAACTATGCGCAAAGGATCATGTGGGCCTCCTATCCGAAGTCATGCGAATTTTACGAGAGAACATGCTTACTGTCACGAGGGCAGTAGTCTCGACTGTGGTCGAACAAGCAATGAATGTATTCTACGTGAGAGATGCTTCGGTAAAGAAAATTGACATCATTTGAGGGATATGTGCGGATACGGTTAGATGCAATTGATGCTTGGTTAGATAAAATTGATGCTAGTTTGGATTCATTGGCCACTACTCGATCCATGGGACCCGACGTTCCCTCTTCATCCACACTCATCCACAGTGAAAGTTTTTTTGTTTCTTCTTCATTTTTTTGGACTGTAAAATGCTACTTCAATTTAAGTTAATTATTGTTTCTTTTGATTGTTTTGATGGTTATGAAACATGTGATGGTTGGACCCGAGTTTTAAATTACCATCTCACAGCCGGTTGACATGTCAACTCCGATTTAAGTGATTATTCAATTTCAGTTGAAGTCCCAACTGCAGTTGGCCGAAGGTGTATATCAACCGCGGCTCAAGATCGTCCATTCATTTTTGAAGTTCAAATAACCATCTCACAACCAGTTGATATGTTAACTCTGGTTGAGAAAATATTTCAACTCCAGTTGAAGTCTCAACCGTGGTCAAATTGTTCATTCATGTTTGAAGTTCAAATTACCATCTTACAGCCGGTTGACATGTAAACTCCGGTTGAGAAATTTTTTTAACTCCGGTTGAAGAGTCAACTGCAGTTGGCCGAATGAGTACATCAACCGCGGCTCGAAGTTCAAATTGTCCATTCAAATAACCATCTCACAGCCGGTTAACATGTCAACTCCGGTTGTCAACCTACAGTGGCCGGGTTGCTTACATTTACCACACAAACGAACTTTGGTACCGGGACGTCCAAATTGAGTTTGTTGCTTAACATTATGGACAAACGCAACACAAGTTGTAGAGTAATGCCCATTTTCGCAACATCGTGTACAAAATGATTTACTTTGAAAGCTCGAAGAAGGGCCAGTTGAAGGTATGCGGTTTGACCTCAGTCTTCCGGCTTGCTTGAGATCAATAGAGCATTTGACAACCATCAAACTAGTTGTTGTAGTTAAGTCCCAAGTACTTGGATGCGCAATTGGCATGATTATGAGCTCGTAAAATTTGCGCCATGTTGTGGTCTTGTAGTAGTCGTGCACATCTCCATACACCGATTCGTTTGCCTTCCTAAAAATGGTACATGCATTGAAAATAAAATAATGGAACACAATATAACATTTTCTTATGTAACATAACAATAAGTAAACATTGAGGCTTTTATTAAATAAAAAAAATGAAAAAAATTACCCTATAGCCTTAATCGCATGTGAACAGGGCAATAAATCGACCTGAAAGAGATAACAAGTGCAAGTCCGATCCTTCAAATTGACGACAAAACTCTTGACCTCGTCCTTCACGTGGTAAACGTAGTGATTGATATTTGAAGCTTCCATATGGTCTGCTTCGGTTTTATAATCCATCAATTCACACTTTACCAACGTCCATCTGAAAAAATAAATAAATAAAAAAGAAAATCTTAGTACAAATATTTTCTTCACCTTTGTTTTTTACCTTCAAATGTGTTTGTACAAAAATATATGAATATCAAGCAACCCCACAAACGAGTCGACGGCATAAACAGGGCCATCAAGATGATTATGATTATGGCCTTTTGCTCCTTGGGATTTTTCCAATAGAAAAGGTGCTGCGAAAGGAGCTGAAACGTGAAGCTGCCTTGCCGCTGTTGCCGTTGCTTGGTCGCCGCTTGAATCTCGCCGGTCGAATTCGCCATTAATGGGGCCAATGAAGATGATGAATGGGGGGACCGATAAAGGAGGAGAGATTGAGAATAATTTCTTTTTTCTAGTTAAAATATTTAATAAGGGTAGAATTGTATTTTTAACCCTTAAAATGGTTATATTTCATTATTTTCTAAAATATAGTTATATTTCATTTTTTCCTTAAAAAAGGGGCTAGAAAACACAGCCTCTGAACATATATTCATTGATATTGGTAAGTGAATCGCTATTTACCGCCCATTTTACTAGTTACTGCCCCCCTCCCCCCCTTTTACAAAAATACAC